TTAACGGAAATTTCTGAGTATGAGCGGCCGGCCGGCCGGCCGGCCGTGGTCACGCTTTTGCGAGGCTTATATCTCAGCAACCACTTGACCGATTTACACGCGGTAATTTTTGTAGGGTAGCTTCATTCCTTCTACCAAGTATTGGACTATTCCTGATGCATGTGGGTGACCCCTTATGCACGTGCCACGTGCAAAACGAAGAGGTGTCCGTTTTGTAATTGTTGCAATATCTCGGTAACTACTTGGCCGATTGCGCTGAAAGTTGGCATGTTGGTAGGCACCCACTAGGCACTGCCTATACATGTGCCAGAGTTGGGGTGCTGCTGCACGTGCGCACGTGCAGGGGTCGTTTCCAGATCTCGGGAACGGCTGGACCGATTGCGCTCAAATTTGGTACACGGTTAGGGACCGGTTAGTAGGGTGCCGTGCACAAGTCAGTTGGGACCCATTTTGCACGTGCGCACGTGCAGGGTGCCGCTTCCAGATCTCGAGAACGGCTGGGCCGATTGTGCCCAAATTTGGCACATCGCTAGAGACCAGTTAGTAGGGTGCCGTGCACAAGTCAGTTGGAGGTACCCCCTCGCAATTTCGCACGTGCAAGGCCCACCCTCTCGCTCGCTCCGTTAGTCGCCCCAAAAGGCGTTATACTGGTTTGCAGATTGGCAGCTTATGTATTTTTGATAAACAAAGGCGAATGAAGGTGTTGATTACCGGTAAATAAAGACAGTTTTCAATGCGCTGGCACAAATGCACCGCGTTTGCCGTAATGCGCCACATTTGTCACGAGGCGCCATTTTTGTCGCAAATCGCACAACTTTATCAACTATGGTCCGATAAGCGTGCAATTCGGTGGAAGGAAACATGGCAAAACGACAATTACAAATGTACCATTTTTGTCGCAATGCGCCACATTTGTCACAAGGCGCCATTTCCATCAAATATGATTAAGAATAATGGAATTACACGAGTAGGAGCACGGTTAGGAACTCTTTTTTATTTTATCAGTTTATCTGATGGTGCTGTGACCTCACATGACCCAGTGGTAGTGGTTGGTGTACTGTGTAGTGGTAGTAGTATTGGTAGGAGTAGCGGTAGGGGTAGTGGTAGTATTAGGGGTAGTGGTAGGGGTAGTGTTAGGGGTAGTAGTAGGGGTAGTGGTAGGGGTAGTAGTAGGAGTAGTAGTAGGGTTAGGGGTAGGGGTAGTAGTAGGGGTAGTGGTAGAGGTAGGGGTAGGGGTAGTGGTAGGGGTAGTGGTAGGGGTAGGGGTAGGGGTAGTGGTAGGGGTAGGGGTAGTGGTAGGGGTAGTGGTAGGGGTAGGGGTAGTAGTAGGGGTAGTGGTAGGGGTAGTGGTAGGGGTAGTGGTAGTAGAAGTGTAGTCCAGGCCGATCCAATGTGACGAGGTGACCTATACGACCTGGCCTGACCGAAGGTGACCTGGCCTGACCCAGTGTGACCAGGGATAACCACCTTGACCTGACTTGACTCCGTATGACCCAAATTTCATACAACTAAGCCCTCAGATTAGTTCTTATGTTCAAAATTTTCTTCTGCACGTTTCCGTCCATATCGCTGATTCCAGACGACTGATCAGTTTAAAGCAAACACCATTCGAAAGCAAATTGGCTGCTGCCGCATTTTATGGCTACGCCGCGAAGCAAGTGGCGCAGCCGCTTGTCTACTATACTATTTGTAGAATGAAACTCTGTCTGTTTGCACCGTGCAGAGGGGTGCTTTGGCGTCGTGCACAGGTCAAACGGTACGGTCGAGGGGGCTGAAATTTTCACAGCGTGTTGATGACGTCACGGGCACGTGCAGTGTCGAGATGCGAGTCCCGGGGGGTGGATGGTTCGCACGTGGCACGCGCTGAAAAAAGGCGTATTTCCTCACAAATTTGCTCGATCTTCAAGGCATCGGCAGCCGGGTTCGACGAACTTTGCAACTAAAATGCATGACGATCGGCGGCGGGTGCCTCTCATTTGCAGATTGGCAAGTAATTTATTTTGATAAACAGAGGCGAATGAACGTGTTGCATTTCGGTAAATAAAGACAATTTTCACTGCGCTAACACAAATGCGCCGCGTTTGCCGTAGTGCGCCACATTTGTCATGAGGTGCTATTTTTGGCGCTAACCGCAAAACTTTGTCAAATATGGCCCGATAACGGTGCAATTTAGTGGGAGGATGCATGACAAAATGACAGGTACAAATGCGCCACTTTTGTCGCAACGCGCCACATTCGTCACAAGGCGCCATTTCCACCAAATATGATGAAGAATAATGGAATTACACGAGTAGGAGCACGGTTAGGAACTCTTTTTTTTAGTTCATCAGTTTATATGATAGTCTGTTGTGACCTCGCATGACCCAGTGGTAGTGGTGGTAGTGTAGTGGTAGTAGTTGTGGTAGGAGTAGCGGTAGGGGTAGTGGTAGCAGTAGGGGTAGTGGTAGGGGTAGTAGTAGGGGTAGTGGTAGGGGTAGTGGTAGGGGTAGTAGTAGGGGCAGTAGTAGGGTAGTGGTAGGGGTAGTGGTAGGGGTAGTGGTAGTGGTAGGGGTAGTAGTAGTGGTAGTGGTAGAAGTAGGGGTAGTGGTAGGGGTAGTAGTAGGGTAGTGGTAGGGGTAGTGGTAATGGTAGGGGTAGTAGTAGTGGCAGGGGTAGAAGTAGGGGTAGGGGTAGTGGTAGTGGTAGAGGTAGTGGTAGTGGTAGGGGTAGTAGTAGGGGTAGTGGTAGGGGTAGTGGTAGGAGTAGTGGTAGTGGTAGGGGTAGTGGTAGTAGAAGTGTGGTCCAGGCCGATCTAATGTGACGAGGTGACCTATACGACCTGGCCTGACCGAAGGTGACCTGGCCTGACTCAGTGTGACCAGGGATGACCACCTTGACCTGACTTGACTCCGTATGACCCAAATGTCATACAACTAAGCCCTCAGAATAGTTCTTATGTTCAAAATTTTCTTCTGCACGTTTCCGTCCATATCTCTGCTTCCAGACGACCGTTTAGTTTAAATCAAACACCATTCGAAAGCAAATTGGCTGCTGCCGCATTTTATGGCTACGCCGCGAAGCAAGTGGCGCAGCCGCTTGTCTATATTACTATTTGAGGAGGGTGCGTCTGTCCGTTACCGAGGTCCCGACTTGGTAGTGCTTTGCGTGGACTACAGGACAGACCGTTGCACCTAGCACGCTGAAATTTGCACAACTTATAGATCAAGGATGCGCGACGTGCCTTTGAGGGGTCTCAGCTCGATCGGATTGATAAGGAGCGCGTGGCGCGTGCTCAAAAAGTGCAAATTCGCGTCATAGACTTTACATGTATAAATCGGCGTGCGAAATCGGGCGAAAACGGCTAATTTTGGCCGACACGGGTCCAGTTCCCGTGCAATATCTTGGTGACCAGGGGTCCGACCGGCACGGGGAAAACAGCATCGTGTACAGAATTGAACGGGCTATTGAATGGTGTGCAATGCAGAGGATAGCACGCGCCACGTGCACCGGAGAGGGCACTTTTATTTGAAAAATTGCGGTTTTTGAGGGATTTTGGAATTAATTTTATTTTTTGGTGACCGTTAAATGGAGCGAGTTGAATCAACGCCTATTTGCAAGAGAAAGGTACCGCCTCTCATATAAAAATTGTGAAAAGCTGATTGATCGAAATCAAGGTGGTGCAAATCACAGGAGAAAATGGTGTTTGTCAATTTTGTGCCACTTTATTAATCACACGGGGTTTGCTGCATAACCTGATACCTTTGGCAATTGAATATGGTACCATTGGATAGAGCATTCAATTCTGTCCAATATTCACTCTTCATTTTCGCATGATAAGCAACAGTATCCTTAAAAATGTAAATGTTCCAAACCATTACATTGTCATTTTTAGCGAAATTCATCGATGGCCCTCAAAAGACTTCACGCCAGTTTTCGAATCATTCTAAAGTAGAACGCATGATAATACGACACGGGCACCTCGATGCGATGTATCTTTTTGTTTTCTTACAAAATGCTTGGCCGTCAAAAGGCAATCGAACGAAATGGATATCTACCAACCAAATCGACACAGACCAACCCAATACCCACGGGTCAAAAAATCCCCCCTTGGCGTTGCGGAGCACGCGGGTAACCCTAGTGATTCCATCATTTGTTAGCTAGGCATAAAACAATAGTAAAACTCAAACGGTGCAGACGTGACGGCAATTCAACGAAGTGATGCTACTCCGTTCATGATGAGAGACAACAGTCATGCACTGACTTTAATGAAATTGATTACTACGAAATAAGTAGATGATGAAGTGATTTGCAAGGCTAGAAACAAGAAGATGCCATTAGCTGGGAACTAATGAATCTTATTGAAAATACAGTGACGCTTGGGGTGCCTGTCTAGAATTACACGGAAATAAAGCAGAGAAATATTGCGCAAATACAAATCTTGCTTGTCAGCAGAGGCATTTACGTGCGAATTAAATTTCAATGTTCATGCGTGCCGACTGGTGTTGGCCGTTTTTTGTGATATTGTGACAATCGTTCACCTATTTTTGATAAAGAAAAAGAAAAGTCACTGGGGTAACTGGTCAAAGATTAGCATGGTTGTCTTCAAATCCAACGTACAAACAGATAATGACAGAGCAAATAAAATTTTGAAAATTTGCTAGTTATCTGACTTAATTCAATCCTTCACAGTTCATCTAATTAAGGTTATTTTACCAGCAGACTTACTTTGGCAATTACCTAAACAAACTCCTAGTTTAATGTTAGGCACTCTTTGACCATGAAACCACCGATATTATGTCGGAGGATAAAGTTACTCACAAAAATACATCAAAATATATTTTTCAAAGCCTCCCTCCGACCCCTCGTTCTCCTATGGGGCCCTCGAACCCCCTTCAGCTCCCACGCTATGCTGCGCCGTATCGAGTCCGTCGTAGCGTCGGGGGCGGCACCGCCTCCACTAATCGTCTCGGCCTGTGGGAGCCCGACATGCAGCGATGCCGGTCGGTCGGTATGGCGGCGGTGGGTAGCGCCAGTCGCCGCGTCAGCTCACCGCCGCGCGGAGGTGCCGAGTCGGGCCGACCTGCGCCGCGCCGCTGCGAGCCGAGCCGAGCCGCCGAGAGCCGAGCCAGGTGCCCACAGCCGCGCCGGACCGAGCAGACAGACGCCAGCAGCGTCAGTGTGTGCCAGCTATGCCGAGGAGAAGCGGGGAGCGGGACAAACACGCACAGGTAACGGGGGAACATGGCCGCCGGCCGCCGCCGCCGCGGGCATATTTACGTCTGGACAACGAGTTGCGGGGAAAAGTGCCGATTGTGTTGCAGTTTTAGGAGCCGATGATTAGGCTGGATTTTTGGGTTACTTTTTCGTTCTGATTCATGTATTTCATAGTGTTTGGCTTTTGAATATTTTAGTTCTTTCAGATAAATATTACTTGCCTTACAACTTTTGTAAAAACGTTTCATTTTTTTATAAGCCGACGTTCAGAGTCCTAAAAATACATCACCACTACAATCAATGTAAACAAACAAATGAAGCACCACTTGGCTCTGTTCCAAGGCCATTTTTTAGTTTATCTGGTGGTTTTCTTCTGAATACCCTGGTTTTCTTGCTCTTGTACGTCGTTTTGTTGGATGTTTTGAATCCCTTAAGATTGACTTATATCATATTTAAGAAGCATGTTGACTGAAAACAATCTGAAGTATCCAGGAGGCTGACAGAGGTCCTGACTACTGAGCAATATCAATATCAAGTTGAACAAGTTATGAAATTTTGGTTGATAAACGCAAGTTGATCGGGCTCATATATCAGCAAGAAAAAGTAAAATTAAAAGAGCTTATTGTCCAAAAACAAGCTATAATATTGCAGACCTTGGAGCAATACTGAAGAGCACGCTGAGCAGGATCATGCCAGAAAATGTTGACTGATGAGCGCATATTGATGTATTGGTATGAATATTGAATGATAACTTACAACAGCAAGATAAATTAGTGCTAACTATCAAGTTAAAATCTAGAATGAATGGACTTGGGCAGTTTTACTATGCTTAGATGCTATGCAGATTGTAATGTGCATCAGGTACTCAGTGTCTGGCAAATGAAACAGGCGATCATTCCATTGCTACTGGAGGAGAAAGCTTGGATCACTAAATCCACTTTATGTTGATTTTGATGTTAATCATCATCACTGTATTTCTTGAAAAAAGGATTGTAGTAAAATTGTCAATGTGACAATCCATGCATTGCAACAATGTGATCATATTATGTGTTCATAGGTAGTCATTCGTGATAGTCATTATTGGTCCAATATACAATGACAAAGCTCTCAGTCTCAGCGTTTCTTCCTGTGGATGGCCAGCAGTGACTCAAAGCTTAAAAGTATTAGTTTTCTTCACAGGGCTGGGATAAACAGTACTGAGGGTAATCTTCCACCAAGGAACTCCACTTTGACATGGTATGAGATGTAGGCACAAGTAGGTAGGTGCTCAGTTCCTATACTTCCTATAGTCAGTAGTTGCGTATGTTTACCTAAGATCAGATTGTTAGTTTTTTAATTTGCCAAAAGTCCATAAAAATGTGACCTGAGCAATGAGCATACCTGAACCTGACTAACCTGACAGCTGACCTAACCTCAATCATCACACATTTGCAGCCTACCCAAGACCTGCATGGCAGTAGCACCCAGTTATAGGTAGGTACTCACCCTAACTCAATCGTACCTGTTAACCTCCAACTTGCCAAAAGTTAGCTCACATTGCCACGCTGTGTCGGAAACAGTCAACTGAGGAACTGGCTCATTGGGTGGCTGGTGTGAGACTGTGCATTTAAAGTGTTTCTTCTCTGAAGCTGCTCTGCACTGCTGTATGTCATGTTAGATGCTCAGAAAATGTGGGAAATGATTACTAAGCTACTTTAGTGCTTTGTTAATGTTCGAGACATGAACAAGTACAGATCCTGCAGGGTACAGCTATGAGTTAGGTGCTAACTGCTAGGTGAGTATGTTATGTGAATGTGCTGTTCCCTGTTTGACCGTAAGTATAACTACAAACAAGCACAGGGTCACAGTTATATTCAATCTCCACATAAACATACAACAAAAGCGGCCATATAGCCTAACTCCGAACACACCACAGATAACTTAAGCCTTTGAAGGCACAAAAATGTTTTGATTAACAGGACAGGTTTACAATATATCCTCTGTCCTCTGTCCTTGGGGGATCTTGCTGCCAAGTTGAGGTACGATGACTGAACTTCAGGATTGATCAACCTTTTCTTTGCCACTGCTTATAAACGAGAAAGACCAAATGCTTGTTTGTAAACTGCGTTGAAAATTTAATGATCCACCTTCAATTCTGACATGAAGGCACAAATGAAATAGTTCCCTCTTCTTTTGGAATACACAAAGCAAAATATTTAATAAATTTTAGTGGATGGACAAGAGCAATTAGTATAGCTTTCCCTCAAGTTAACTTCTTGTTCTGGCACTGTTGATGAATTACACTGACGCTTATTCGCTTCATATTTTGTAACAAACGCGCTAAAACTGCAATATTACAGCACTATATGCTTCTTGACAAAATGCAATAGTATTAAAAATTTAGCCCTGATGGCATTCATTCTTGGTGGAAACGTAATTACAAAATATTTTGTAGTAACTATTAAATTCCGGCCGAAAACAGTGCACGATTTAAAAAAGAATCATTCCAATGGCGGTCCATTCTTGCGGTCCTGAAATCGCCACTATTTCCGGCCTCTCCAACGCAACTCGTTGTCCAGACGTAAATATGCCCGCCGCGGGGGGCGCCCTGCGTCCCCGCGACACTGGGGGTGGCGGCCGCGGCCGGCTGTTGTGTCGCGGCGGCCGCCGAGAGGTGTTGGTGCGAGATGACTGGTGCGGTGTGGTGTGGAGGTGAACCCAGGCGCTGTGTTCGTGCGGGTAACAGGTAGGAGGAGGTGATACTGCCCCTTGGTGGCGAGCTTTGATATTCCTTCTGGCATAGCCTCTTGGAAATTTGAATTTTCCCAAATTGCGTTGGGCTGTCATAGCCCCAGTTAAAGATCTTCTGAACACTGGCAACGCTTATGTTTTCTACATCTCATTGTCAGCTATCAACGGCATTTGCCTTTCGCATCTGAAGGTGCTGTGAAACCTCCCGCGGTACTCGGCACTTTGCAAAGTCATTGCGAAATAACAAAACCACCGTCAGTCTCTCAGTTACTGTCGGGTCTTGTCCTCTTGCCAAAACATTGCTGTGTGGGCTGTCTCCCGCCTCGTCGCCAGATTTCTGAAAACTCTCTGCATATATCCCTGCTAGGGCTGCACTTATAAACACGTGTCTCCCTACAGAGGACCTCCCGCACTCACCGGTGCTGTTCCCCATCAGGACTCCTCCCTGCCGACCAGGTCAAACAATGCAGAACAACGCGCTAATGACGGCAAAAAGCCCTCTGCACATGTAAACACGACAAAGCGGTGCGGTCGCTTATGAAATTGGCCGTGTCTGCCGTCGCCAGTCGAGCCGACAGCCGTGTGCTGACTGGACGGATGTTGCAGCTGACGTTACAGTTGATGTTGCAGTTGATGTTGCCGACTCGGGAGTTGGATGTCACACATATGCCGACGCCTGTCGTCTGAGTGTGGTCGGCGGGTCGAGGTGGCCGTGCCAGACGGATGTTGAGCACAGAGGTGGCATAGATGACAGCTTGTTGGCAACTGTGAAGGGAAAAAGTCGGCGGTTAGGTCATTATCACTATCTTAGAGTCCAGACGCAGTTAACAATTTCTAGCCTGGTTTGTAACCAGATCTAGGCAATGTCTGGGTATGTGCGTAAACTTCTAAAATGCTCCACAGAATTGAGGGGACGTTTTCCAAAATAATTGTGGCCAAAATAGCGAATATCGGACGCGTAAGGAAGGTGCCGAAAATGCCGACACGGCCGAAGGCCCACATAGTGACCTGAGCTATGGGCGACTCATGAGGAAATCGCGCTGGACGGTTGGCTCTCCCACACAAAACGGACATATGCACTGCACCCTTTCTCAAAACATTGCCCGAGCAGTGGACAAGACGAATTTTGTTCCGATGAAACATGAGGAGCATCTGAATTATGAAACATCTGAATTAATAGAAAACTTATTGTGGTAGGCACTTACTGCTGAGCGTCGAGCGTCATTTAGTTAAGTTTTCAGGTCGAAATAAGTCACTTGCATGTAAAATCTTATTGTCGTTTATTCTCCAAACTTTTTTCAAGAGGCATCATTCCATGCAAGAAACTAGCTGAGCCTTCTTTTGGTATGCATGATCTATCTCACGCGACATGTGTCTTGTTAAAAGTGAGCGTTTTACTTTAAAGCTGTATCATGTAACAGAATGAGACATTTTATTAAAGCCCATCATGGAACTATATGTCTGTGTCATTTGTAAAGGGCTTTCAGGCACAAAACATGTTTGAGAGAAACGAAGAAAATTGGAAGAATACTTAGTTCGGTTTAAAGTTGTGCAATCAATGAAAAAGCATTTTCCCCTATCACAATTACTTCAAAATGCTGCACCATATTACAGACAACTTTGTGTATGTCTTGAAAGATAATCTTCGTTCGCAGAAAAAAACTTTGACGGAAATTTTCTCCTCTCGCTTGTATATTGAGATTCGCTCAGAGAAAGGATTCAAGCATACCTTGGCTTTTTGGAAGAGGCTCATGATGCCTGATTGCTGTTATTATTTTGTGACCATAAGTGCAGATGTTATTTGCATGTAAAATGGAGTCAGTCTACAGAAGCATGACCGTTAACCGTCAATCATGAGCTGAGCAATCATTCATTAAAAAATGCTGCACAATTTAAAATTGGCCATTTGATTATGTTTTTCTTCTTGTCTAGATTTCACGCAGAATGCCTACCAACTTGTCGATAGACTACTCATATCTCACATAACATAATTGCAGTTTTTCATAAACTTATAATTTATATTGCTGACAAACAGCAATAAGGCAGCGCATTTCGATATTCGTGTACTCTATTCGTGTTTGCACTCTATGCTGCAAACATTGCAGCATGCGTAGTAAAACGCTTATTACGAGCGAGCGAGCGCAGCGAGCGAAGTGAGTCTTTTCAATATAGCGGAGAAATCTCAGTATGAGCGGCCCGGCCCGGCCCGGCCCGGCCCGGCCCGGCCCGGCCCGGCCCGGCCCGGCCTGTAACGCTTTTGAGAGGCTTATATCTCAGCAACCGCTGGACCGATTGGCCTGCGGTCTTTTTTGTTGGGTAGCCCCATCCCTTCTACCCCGTAATTGACTACTTTTGACACACCTCAGTGACCGTCGTGGCACGTGCCACGTGAAAAGCCAAGGGTGTTCAAGCTGTTTTGCAAAAGTAGTGATTTTGAGAGGCTCATATCTCAGCAGCCGCTTGGGCGATTGACTTGCTGTAATTTTTGTAGGGTAGCAGCATCCCTTCTACCCAAAATAGGATACCCTCGATGCATGTGGGTCACCCCCAGTGCACGTGCAAAATACAACAATGAGAGGTGCCAAATTTGTTCCCATTTCAGTAACTCGGTAATTACTGGGGCGATTTCGCTGAAACTTGGCATACAGGTAGGCACCCACCAGGCAATGCATTCCCATGTGTTGCGGTTAGGGTGCTACTGCACGTGCGCACGTGCAGGGGGCGTTTCCAGATCTCAAGAACGGCTGGGCCGATTGCGCTCAAATTTGGTACACGGCTGGGGACCAGTTAGTAGGGTGCCGTGCAAAAGTCATTTTGGACCCCGTTTGCACGTGCGCACGTGCAGAATGCCGCTTACAGATCTCAGGAACGGCTGGGCCGATTGCGTTCAAATTTGGCACACCGCTAGCGACCGGTTAGAAGGGTGCTTTGCGCAAGCCCGTTGGAAGCACCCTCTCGCCCTTCCGCACGTGCAGGGCTCACTATCTCGCTCGCTCGTTCTTCGCCCAAAAGGCGTTTTACTGGTAGTATTCATTCTATATGTGAAATAAATGACGTCTCGCCATGCACGTTCGCGTAAACTCCGTTCACGGGTAGCGTAATGGTGCGCCTGCCGCCCGGCTGCAGTTTCGGTGTGACGAAGTGCCGGCACGCGTGGTTGCACTGCACCGTGTCGCCTGCCTCATGATCGGCGCCAATCGCAACGGCCTTGTGGGGGACGAGCCGGCGAAATTGATGGGCCCCCAATCGGTGTAAATCACCAGTGATTATTTTCACTGCCCTAACGATCAATTAATGTCAGACTCACTAGCGGCTGTGGAGTTTGTATCGAAGTTGCTCGACTTCGCTGCCAGCTGAAGGGAATTCCGCTTAAATAAATCATACCCCCAAACGGGTTTCAAGAGCAAGCGCTAACTTTTGTTATGGAGCTTATGTAACTATGTTCTAGTCATATCTGGTAAATAAGCTAATTATCAAAAGAACCCGAGACACAAAGTTAATTTATTTTACACGATGTTGGGAAATATGCCCAACATGGTCCAACACACTCTCCGCTTTTTGCTGCCATGGAGTTTCTTTCTCCCCATAACCTGATAAGTGGAATGGACTCAGTTTGTCCATCCAGACATCAACATGTAGAAGTTATTTGCTTTTTCCAGCGGCTCCTTTTGATCGCAGCTAACCTAAACAAAAACACACAGTAAAAAATGGGTCCCTGTCATGCAGATCAACTCGAATAATACACAAATCATACCGGCGCCTGACCGATCCGGCTACCTTTGACCACTCTCGAGCCACGCCACTCGTACTTGATAAACAGTCGTCACAAATCACACCCAGGGAGCGGGCTGGGCGACGACACGCCGCCGCCGCCACCTGAGCTAGCTCGCTGAGTAATCCGCCACCGACAGACACCGATCAGCAGTCATCCTTCTCAGTCGCCGGCGGGAGGCGTGCGTCAATATTTACACCCCTGACCGGCCACCGAATCAGTCACACTGCTCCAGAGAGCCAGCCCGCTCCGAGCGAACTCGACGCGGGCCGCCCGGCCCAGCCGAGCGCGGCCGGTTATTCCGACCGGACCAGAAAGATTGATGCGTCGCCCGCTGTTTCCAACATAAAATCAGTGTCGTTTTAATGGCTGGTCATTTGTTATAGCCACGGTAGCGCTTAACCGGCAATAATTCAAGCCCGCACGCGCACGTGGAGGGCCAGGGCAGGCTAGACGCGTGCTAGACGTTTGGGAGATCATTCACAGAGGTGAGATCATAAAACGCGAGGCGTGAGAGGCCGGCTGGCTCATTTGTTTATTTTATTACCTTTTAATTATCGCAGGGTGTCAGCTATGCGGTCATTCGGGGGCAGTAAAGCTCGTGTTACAGAGATACGTCTCAATGATCGGTCTGTGTCCCCATGGTATCATTCTTCTGTTTAAAACGTAATAAATAGGCCCACCGGCCGATCCATCATTGTGTGGCGGCGCGAGCCACCGACTGACTCTCCTCTCTGCCGCCAGGGTCGCTAGCGTCACGCGGCGCCTGCCGTACGCCATCTTCGACCGACGGTGCGTGACGTCACAGCGAGGGTCAGGCGGCCGGCGTCCGATTGGTGGGTGCCAGTCACGTGCCGGCTGGATTGTTGATACCGGGAGGAGCCTCGCGCGGCCGGACCGAGCGCCGGCACGAAAAATTATTTCCATCCAATTCACCGAAAATTAATCACCGATGAGTTCGTTTCTGATGAACTCGGGTCCGTACGTGGACCCCAAGTTTCCGCCGAGTGAAGAGTACAGCCAGGGGAGCTATATTCCGCACAGTGAGTACTACATACCCCAGCACCAGCACTATGGCTACCCGGCCGCTCAGGCCCACCTGGGCTACGGACGCGAGAGTGTTGCCTATAACCCGAGTGCTGCCGCCGCCGCCGCCGGCTACTACCAGAACTCATTCATGCACCCGGCCCAGCATATGGGCGCGCATACAGTGCCGGCTCTGCCGAACCCGTCGCCGCCGACGCAGCCGACGCTGCACCGTTCTCCGGTGCCGGTGAGCTCGCCGCAGCCGCCGATGGGCGGCGCGCTGCTGACCTCTCCCGGTGGCCCGATGACCGGTCACCCGGGTCAGCACGGCGGTCCGGCGACCCAGCACGGCGGCCAGGGTCAGGAGAGCCACTCAGACGGCTGCGACGAGAATGACACGGGCGAGGAGCAGGAGGGCAGCGCCCGCGTCATCTACCCGTGGATGAAGAAAATTCACGTGGCTGGAGCTGGCGAATGGATCAAAA